TTAGCCTATTCTATCTCTCTGCAATTCCAACCCCAGCTCTTCATTCTCCCCCTTTGGGGCAAGTAAAACAACCATAATTTCTAGCCACTTTGCCTCTCTTATGCAGTCTTGGTGAGCATGAGTTTTTCTGGCAGTTATGCTGTATTATGGCCTTATTTTCCAGCCTTTCACTAAAACCCCCAGATTGCTGACTTCAAAGTTGCTGTCTTTTCCATATATGTGAAGTTATTTTCTGGATCCAAGCATAGGATTTTGTGTTTATCCCTATAAAACTGACACTTATTTAATATGGTCCATCATTCTGGCCTATCAAGATCTTTTGGGATCTTGAATCTGCCATTCAGCAGGCTGGACATCTCTTCCTCAGTCTTGTGTCATCTGCATCCTGGATAAGCATGTCAGTACACCCTCATCTGCATCACTTATAAAAATAGTTAATAACAGTACAGAACCAAAGATAGATCTATGGGGAATTCCACTTTTGATCATTCTGGATTTTATGGCTTTTGACACTAATCTTACTACGCTGGTTTCTTGTTTTTGGTATTCATCTTCAGTTACATACTTTTGCTTTTATTTCTTCCTATATCTCTTTTTAAAATCTGATTTGTTTAGAGAGTTCTCTATATGGCCACATTCTTTAGATAGCTCCCTCTTTCCTTCTTGCCTCTTCCGCAAGTTGAAGTGGTATATTAGCACACTGTGAACACTAAGATAGTAGTTGCAATGATGTTGATGAGAAATGTGCTTACTGTAAGTTATTATTTTCAACCTTAGAATGAGGAACTTCAGCTCTCTATATATGGCCTTAACATCAGAAGAGTTTGTATTGTGCCTCATGGGTTAGAAAAAGAGCAGACCTTACAGTCTTTCTATAAATGCTGATGTTCATGTTTAGATAACTAATAAAAGCTCTTACGTTATTTTTATTTCATCAAATTCTATGGTGAAATAGAATAATATAGGTTTTAGGGCAACAGGAAAGGTAAGATTGTGATAGACTAATAGAAGGACGAAGTAAAGTGAGATAATGCTATAGGAGACTTGTGGAGATGGTGAACTGTACATTCCCAGAAGAAGTCTTTAGTTTTACTACCATTTCATGCCTGGATAATATATTAAAGGGCAGGACTCCTAAATAGTAACAATTTCTCCTTTAAAAAAACAAAAACATTCTTACTTCTGACTTTTTTAAAGAAAAATGCCCAGCCACAAAGACCAACTAACCGATGAAAAGGGAAATGCTTGGGAATACTGACTCTGAAATAGCAATAAAAAGTAAAAGTGATCAAAAACAGGTTGAAAAGAAACATAGCAATAACTATGATCGCTATGTACAAAGGGGCAGCAGGGGGAGTAGGTATTGGCTGAGCTGGGTCTAGAATCCTTTGGGTCTCTAACCAAAGCACTCTTAAAGCTTTACAGCTCCAATTCTGCTAGTGTACCACCAGAGGCATCCCAGGTGACCATCTGTCTATGAAATCACATTTGGAGAAAAGTGTCTTTCACAAGTACCCAAAAATATCACAGGTTTCCCAGCACGATAATGAGTTAGTTACATTACCAGGTACTATTTATGGAAAAGGCAAGGGTGCTGCAATCAAGAATATTTGCAACACCAAATTAAAAGGTAAGTAGAGTTTGAATCAGAAAACTTAAATGCTATTTTTGTATGGAAATTTCCATAATAATTTGAATAATGATACTATTACCCTTTCACCTTAATACAGCAATAAGAAAGCCCCAATTGGATAATTTATAACTTATGTCATCAAAGCCAAAGGCAATATGACTGCCTCCAGAGAAATAGTTTCTAGCTCATTGCAGAATAAAGAATATGGCCATGTAGTCTTACAGAGAACCAGACACCACAGGGTTTTAGTTGTGGAGGTAGGATGGAGAATATTATCTCCCACTACTACCCTAGTCTAAACCTCTGCCAAACTGTTTTGATATTTGTCCTCTAGATGCTTATTCTCATCTTCCTTCATACAGTTCCCTCCTCATGATCTCTCTCTGCTTAATTGCTGTTCATCCTTCAAGGCCCAACTCAAGTTCCATTTCCTTTTCTTCTCCCAAACCACCACTCAGTCTCTCTCTCTCTCTCTCTCTCTCTCTCTCTCTCTCTCTTTTTCTCTCCCCTCTTTGAGGGGTCACATAGAGTCAGAAACAACTGAATAATAACAACAACAGTGAAGGCATAGTAAAAAGAGTCCTTGAGTTGGAGTCAGAAGTACCTTGGTTTCAAATCAGAGAGACCATGGGCAAATCATTTAACCTTTCTGGGGTGAATGGGGATAATGATACCTGGAATACCTATCTCAAAAGGTTGTTGGGAGACTCAGATGAGATATATATGTAAAGCATTTTGTCTCAAAGTGTTCTATAAAATATCAGTTATTAGCATTACTATCACAATTATGTGTTACACTGTTAACTCTGTCATCTCTCCCACTTCTCTAACACTCAAGAGCTTTCTGAGTACCCCCAAGCACTGTTTTCCCGTGCGGTGGCACTCCACCTCTCATGGACTTAGTAATTATAAAAGTTACTAGCAATTTTTATGTTTATATAAAAGGTATCCCAAAAGTCTTAGTGCAACCATTTAGCTTTAGTAGCTTAAAACTGTAATAAGACTTTTGGAATATGAGTGTGTGTGTGTGTGTGTGCCAAAAGTCATAGTTTTCCCCTAACACTGTTACATATATACAAATGAGTTCATGTAACAAGTTCTCTGATAGTATCTTTAAAATAGAGGTGATATATAATTCTTTTCTGATGCATATGTTTTTTATCCAAAAGTCCAAATTCTAAGGCTATGGAAAGATTGTCCCAACATTTTACTCTCCACAGTTTGTTGAAACTTTGCTTGTAGAAATGTGGCATTTTTCAATCTCTCTTTAAAAATACCAGGAAACTTAAAAGCATATGTCAGATCCTCATTCCTTTAAAATTAGATCATTGACAAATGCTAGGCCTAAGGCTGGAAAAACTTGACACAATCCACTATATTGAAAGAACTGGTGACTTGCCCAAGGATTTAAGATATTATACAAAGTTCTCTCAAAGGGCATTAGTTTCAAAACATGATACTACCTCTTTTTAACAAACACTGATTGACTTTTTACTCTTACAAAGCATCTTTTAGAATAAAACTTTTAAAAAGCATAACTTAAAACTGAACACGTGAGAAGCTTGTAAGAAAAAAAAAACTAGAGAGAAGCTGCAATAGTTTTGTAAACTGTATAATTACAATATTTCCAAATCATATAAGGTAAACAGGTCTGAGGAGTAAATATGTAAATACTTTCAGATCAATTTTTTAAATTAAAAAACAAATACTCTCAAATACTTTCAAAACCTGATAAAAAGATAAAAAGGTTTATTATGTACTTTCTAGGTCTGGTTCTAATTAAAAGGTCAGTTTCTCCTGTTAGTTTTTTCAAATTTCTCTCTCTCTCTCTCTCTCTCTCTCTCTCTCTCTCTCTCTCTCTCTCTCTCATATGAAACACTATTTGGCCTTTACAAAGTACCTGGTATGTGCAAAATGTGTCGTCATAGCTCAGGTGTATCCCATATCACCTCCACAGGAAGAAATCACTTCAAACAATCACACACACACAGAAAGTGGAAACAAATTAAGGGCCTTCCCATACTGACTCATATTTTCCTAGTACCTCTTAACCTCACAGATCTGAAAATGGTCTATAATCTACACTGTATCATTATTTCTAATCAGCCCTACAAACACACAGCTATATGTATGTATCAGTTATGAAAACAACAATTCAACACTATACAAAAGGTTATGTATAATAAGCTAAAATTCCTTGATGAGAAATGGAAAAACAAAAATGACAGGGTGAATTCTATTTTACATTCACATTTCAGTAAGGGTGCCCACTATTCACAACAGCAGGAGACTTAATCTAAGTTAAAGGATTGCTTGTTAGGAATCTCTCAACACAAAAAATCTGAATGATAAATATTAATTACATTTCATGTAAATGGATAGAAAGAAGGTATCTAAAAGAACTTTGTACACCAACATCAAGCTGTTCATTTTATATCACATTTATCCTACCAATATGTGAGAAAAACAAGATTTTTTTCCACAAATAACCATTTCCAGACAGAAAAGAAATGAAATGTCCAATACGAGCTTGAAATGAAGTCATTACAACAACAATTTGAATGGATACCAAACAGGAGGTCATAAGATTGTATGACGTCCATAAGAATAAGCATCATTAACAAACTAGTACTAGTTTGTAAAGCATTTTGCATGCGGGTAGCATCTTTCTTCCAAACAATTTTTATAGTTCAAGGTCCTTAACCTAATATCTGTGTGTCCTGATCAGTGTCCTGACTATCCCAACGTACAGGTCCTAACCTTTCTCTCCCTTCAGATGCTATGTAGGATGGAAACCTTCAGAACCACTTACAGTCTCTCAACTCTTAACTGTGGGTGAGAGTTGGGGAATACTGGGTACTATAATTCAGGCAACATGGTAGGTAGTCTCTAGTTACAAGTTGTTTAAACAAAAAGGTGATTTCCTCCCTAAATAATTTTGACATCTTAAAAAAAACATTCTTTGAAAGAATTGTATTACTTCCAGTTACACTAAACAGCTGCCTAAGATAAATACTGTAATCGGGAAGAAAAAGACAAGTTAAATCTAACTGTACTACATAAATCTTTCTAACAATGAGTTTTAAACAAAACAGAAATTCTCATGGTCAACAAAAAACAAAACTGATAAAGTCAGTAGAATAAAAAGTAAAATTTCGCATTTTGCATTCTCTACATAGATTTAACATTTACCATCGCAAACCTACAAACCTTGCAATCTTTTCTTCAAATACTTTTCCTCATCCTTTTGGGAAGGAAGCACACGAAGGGGAGGGAGAGACACACACACACACACACACACACACACACACACACACACACAATTAGCTGAATGCCAAAGGACCATCAAAACATTCATAGCACTCACCTTAGGTTGGTTACATGCTGCTGCACTGGCTGATGTTGAAAATGGTCAGGCCACTGATGATGCAGGCAGAATGATGGAGAGGGCTGAAGACAGCAAGCAGTCTGATATACAGGTGAATGGTTTTGACACAGAGATGTAGAATACTCTGAGTGTGGCTGCATGCAACACGAGGCCACAGGAGATGGTGCTGTGGGACCAGTTTGGGAATGGCACTCTTGGTGACTGCTATGGTTATTCAAAGAGTGATGGTATGGGCAAGGATGGCAGCATTGTGATAACACCTGGCAGGTTCTTTGGTTGTCTAAAGGCAGAAAAGAAGGTTTAATTGTGCCATTAACTTGGAGGCATCCATTTGGACTCACTTTTGTTCTAGGTGCTTCTTTGGATGGGTGCTGTTGGATTGCAATGTCTCCATCACAAGATGTAAGGGTACTGGAGTTGGGCATAATGTCGCCATTGCTCAGAACCATGAAATCATTGTTTCCACTGCTCATAGCCATGCTCCAACTTCTTTGCTATGAAAGAAAACAAAATAAAGTGAGTCCTTATTCAGAAATGCATATGCTAGAAGGATAGGCAAAGATTTAAATTCATTTAGGGAAATAAAACAACAAATGTAACAGAAGCATTGATTCATTCAACAAACATTGGTTAGGTGAGCTTTCTATGCAAGGCACTATGCTGGGTTCTGGGAAAGGTATAAAAATAAATAGAATATAGTCCTTACCTTCAAGGACCCTACAATCGAAAATTTAAAATAAGCAAAATTAATTGCCTGGGAAGACTTCTATATTTTAAAATAGTTAATACTGTAGAAATTAAAGACACTCCAAAGCAGTAATAGAAAACAGATGTAAAGTGAAGCACAACTCATTAACAAATTCCTCTACTGGTCTGACCAACACCATTGGTACTTCCTTGATATAAACTATGTGATCTCCATAGTCATACTGCTCTCTCATCAATTCCTCTTCTCTCATCTCTTCCTCCCTTCTCCTTAGCCCTGATCTTAACTACACCTAGTTCAGATGAGCACCCGAACATTTCTGAAATAACACCAAAAAAATGACTGTTTTGTAGCTGAAGGGTAATTTTGCTGCACGTGCTCATCTTGGAATTAATCAATCATCAGGCATTTATTAAGCACCCATTATGGGCCAGGCACTGTGCTAGGTGCTGAAAGTCCTTGGCATGTTTGTGGGCCTGGAAGGCTGGATATTTTAGGAAACATCTTAAAGTTTGAGTCTGTTTCTAAGTCAATAAAGCCCTAAAAATAGGGTAAAGAAAAGAAATAATCAACATATTAAGCCAAGTAATATGGCAAATGAACCACCAGGTGTAAAAGTCAGTGGGGAGAGACAGAGAGTGGATTAAAAATAAATGTTTGATAGCTAAAAAAAAAAAATTAGGGGAAAAACTGAGGATTATTACTCTGAGAAAAACAAAGAGGTGACACGCTGTATCAGCATTAGTTAGCCACAAATCATTTCATTTATTTTCTAGGAGATATAAAATGCACATAGTGTTATGGATGTGAGACAAAAAATAATCAGTATGCAGAATTTTTTAAAGTTTTAAGCAAATTTGTTATTTTTTTCAGCCCTACTGTTATCAGAAGTCTCTAAATAGTCAACAAATTTCTTAGTGGCATGATCAAGCTCAATTAACAAATCACTGTTAACACTAATTTACAACAGAAACTACAGGAAAAAAGGGGACAGTGGTGTTCTTGGTCTCCTATCCGAATCTGAAGGCTAAAGAAAGAAATTAAACCATGTGTAGTTTCACTGAATTTCTTCTGATTGACAGAGACTTAGCCTTCAGAATAAAACTTTCTGAACTCCCAGGCTTAGAAACTGGAATTGAACTTTTCTTTACTTCATTTTAATCTGTGCAGGGAAACCATGGGAAATGCTGGGAGATGTTCGTTCTTTAAGTTTGCATACATGATAATTTGAACAAATATAGATTTCTCATAGAGTAGATTTTATTTCAGACTTTACACATCTGTAAACTACATAAGCCAAATGCTTCTGAGTACAGGATGCCAGCAAGTATGCTAGTAAATATGCTCCCAGAATAGGACATTAAATCTCTGATACTCAATGTGGATACTTAGCATAAGAGGACATATAATCATTGTATTAAAATGTGAATTTTGTTTTAATATTTTGCTTTTTAAAATTAAGTTTTATTCATGTCTTTTGTTGTTTACATCACCATAGTTTTCCCCAGTATCCTTCCCCCTACCCCTCCCAGAGAGTTCTCTCATCGCAAACTATATTTTTAATTTAAAAAGGAAAAGGAAAAGGGCAGGAAAAAAATCAACACGACCAATTAATACATTGAAAAAGTCCAAAAAAATGGGCAACGTGCATTGCACATAGAACTCCTACAGTTGTCCATAGGTTGTGGGTAGGAAGCAATCTCTCATATCTCTTTTTTCAAGTCATTCTTGTTCTTTATAATTTTGCAACATTCACTTTTGATTTTTTTGTATGTGTGGTTGTTTTTTTTCCATTTATATTGTTGTAGTTGTATATAGTTTTCTTTGTTCTGCTTACTTCAGCTCTGCATTAGTTCATGTAGGTCTTTCCATGGTTCTCTGTATCCATCACATTCATCATTTCTTACAACACAGTAATATTCCATTACATTCATATACCAAAATTTGTTTAGTCATTCCCTAATCAATGGCTATCTACTTTGTTTCCAATTCTTTGCTATCACAAAAAAGTGCTGCCATAAATATTTTGGTGTATATGGGGGCTTTATTCTTATCCTTGGCTTCCTTAGCCCAGTAATCTCAGGAACAAAAAAAATAGGCATTTTAGTCACTTTATTTGCATCATTCCAGATTGCTTTCCAAAACGGTTGTACTGATCACAGTTCCTCCAATAATGTGTGCTTAGTGGGCCTATCTTCCTATAACCCTTCTAAAACTGACTGTTATCATCTTTTGCCATCTTTGCCAATTTAAATGGTGTGAGATGAAACAATAGGGTTGTTTGGATTTGCATTTCCCTTATCATTAGTGATTTGGAGCATTCTTTCATGTGGTTGTTAATGGCTTGCAAGTATTTTGAGAATTGTTTGTTTATATGCTTTAACCATTTATGTAATTAATAACACTAACGATAATAGCATTTATATAGCACCTTAAGGTTTGAAAAGAGCTTCCTAAATCTATCTTTTTTTTAATCCTTACAATAACCTTGAGAGGTAGTTGCTATTATTATCCCTATTTTACAGATGAAGAAACTGAGGCAGACAGAGGTTAAGTGATTTGTCCAGGGTCATACTACTAGTAAGTGTCTGAGGCTAGAAGATTTGAACAAGTCTTCTTGACTCCAGGTCCAGTGCTCTATCCACTGTGCCACCAAGTTTTCTCTATTGGAGAATGGTTGGACATTAAACTCGATACTGAATATGGACACTTGGCAGAAGAGTTCACAACATCATTGTATTAAAAGATGAATTTAATACAATTCTGTTTGCACTTCTGAAAAAGATTCCCATATAAACTATAGCAACAACTATTGGACATAATTTACATTAGTTTACCTAAAGGTCTAACAATGCATCCCTCTAAATATCTCAGGTGGGAAGGATTCATTTATTCATTACTAATTGATTAAGTGCCTAGTATATGCCTGGCAGCTTCATGGAGCCTAAGACAAAACAAAAAAAAAATCCCAATCTGAAAGAGCTTATATTCTACTGGGGGAAATGGAATGCATATTTATAGATAAGTAAATGCAAACTACATACCAAATAAATACAAAGTTATATGGGGGTAGCTAGGATAATCAATCAGGTCCTCATTTAGGATAACTTCCTTAATTGAACCTTGTGAAGGAAGCCAGGGATTCTGAGAGGCAGAGTTGAGAATGGATCAATAGCTAGCATTTATAAAGTACTTTAACGTTTGCCCACTGCTTTACAAACACAATCTCCGTTGATTCTCATAATCAGTTGTTCTATGTTCAGTTCTGTTACTTCTTGACCCATATACAGGTTCCTCAGGAGATGCTAAAATAATCTGGTACTCCCACCTCTCTGAGGATTTGCCACATTCTGTTGATCCACACAAAGACTTTAGTGTCGTCAATGATGCAGAAGATTTTTTTTTTTAACTCCCTTGCTTTCTCCATAGTCTAGTTTGCAGAATCTTAAGTATAACCTCGCTGAAGTGTGAAATGAACACGATTGTTTGGTAAATTGAACAATGACTTGCATTACTGTGGTATTGATCAGTTTGTCCTGGATTCGAATAGATATTCTATCATTTTTGAGATTATACTCCAATACTTCTTTTCTCATCCTTTTCTTAACTCTGAGGGTTTGAATTCAGTTCTTCCTGACTTGACCTCCAGTGCTATATGCAATGTTGATAACAATTCAGTCAAACAATTTTAAAAACAGGAATTTACAAAGGGGGTATATAATTGGAACAGCTGAAACAGAACATCTGCCCAAGAGTAAGGAAGACATGCTCCCACAAATGCATACAGAGTTCAAGAAAAAGCAGGTTCAAGTTTAGAGATCACACATAGGGGTAGTTCATAGATTTGAGTTGGATGGAAATCTTTTTTTCTTTTGGTAGAATCCTCATGATTTTCCTTTAGAACTCCTTGTAGAGTTCTCAAGCTGTCTTTCTTCAGTGGGTCTGGTTTGTCCACAAGTTAGAATAGTCACTGCTGTTCAGGGAACTGCTGTGCCATACATGGAAAGTCCAAAATCTTCCAACCTTTTTGAAATTCACACGTTAATCCTCTGGTCAAAAGCGAGAGGGCGAGGACACAGAAGTTTTCTCTTCCCCTACCTCTCCAGCAATTCTCTCTCACAGGCTTGGCTGGAGCTGCTTGCATCTGGGTATGACCCACCATTGGAACGGTCAGGTTCAAAACTAGTTCCTTGTTTTGTTTTGTTTTGTTTTTCTATTTCCTGCAAGATATGAATAAGTCTCCTCAGCCCATACCAACACACTTCCTATGTAGTATCATTTCATTCCATCCAATGGCTTTCATTCCTTCTAAGCATATCAAAGACTTTTCTCTACCTGGTTTAATGCCTTTGATTGATTAGGTAGGTACTTCAAGTGGGGTGAGGCAATTAATTGATTCAAGGAACGTCCACCCTAATGACAGATAGTGCTTGACTAATCACAACCTGGGTTATAGTCCTGTCCTCTGCAAATAGACCTTGGGCAAGTGCAGTTGAAAGAGTGCTGGATTTACAGTCAGAGATGTGGGGTTCCCACCATGGTGTATTTCTTTCAAGTTTTGGCACATGGTATCTATGTGACCTTAGGTCTCTTTTAGCGCTAAATATGATCCTTACCAAAGCCAACCTCTCTGGTTCCATTCCCTGGAATTATCCCACATGTCTACACTCACTACCTCCACATCTCTTCTCTTACTCCTCAACTCTGTACAACCTGTCTTTTGAGATAATTAATCAACTAAAATCCTTATCTCCCACATTATCAGTGATATCTTATAATCACTAAGTC